CTCCAACCACCATCTAATTTTATCTATCGTTCTGCAGTTTCAGCTTCCGTAGATCTTGTTCCTCTTCTTCCAGTGCGTTTACTCCTTGTTGTCCTGCAATTAGAAAAACAGACTCGTGTTAGTAACATCACATGTAATGATTTTTCCTACTGTTACAACAAGACAAAGTAAATCCTACATACATACCGGATGGGGCTAATAGATCCCAATTTAGCATAGATAAACAAATATTATTCGACTGACACTACGAATTCTTTGACTGTGTTTGATAATCGATATCGTAATCCCTCGTTATCAGAAAGCCGAATGAAGACTCGCGGTTCAAATATTAGACTTTGCGTTATACGATATGATTTCGTGAGGCTATACAACATCATAAATGTTTATGGGATGGCTTCCAGGCTTCTCGTGCGGAATATATTCACACAATCAGTCGAAAAGCCAATAATGCAATTGTATCTCAGCTTCATATAGAGCACGGTTTAACCTATCAACATTGGGGAATCAATGTTTTCCACCAATTATTCCTGCTATTATGGGTAGAATGTCAGCTATTCGGTGTAAGATTGATGTTAAAGATGGTTGTAAACCAAATATAACCGATTTTCGGGCGTACGTTTCTTCAGAGAGATCTGTTATTATACCCTCACATGGTCTATACTACCACTATACGCGATTAAATTTATATGTATTAAATACTCTCACAAAATTTGACTGACTGCACTCGTTTAATAATGGTACTAAAGAATCGAATACGTAGTGAAACGGGAAGATAGAGTCTTATGCGGTTGATAACAGGAAGACAAACGTGAATCCGAATGATGATTATTTGAATAAGACCGTTTATTTAAGTGCCCACCAGGTTATAAATAAGGCAGACAATGAATGGGACAGAAACAAGTGAACAGGTATATACAGGAAAGCCGAAAATTAAGGATGTATGAGTTTGTAGTGCTGCAGTTTTTAGTAGTGTAGAATTATTGAGTATATTAAAATGAGTCTGTGGTCGCATATCATGAGATTAACAATATCTGCACGATATTAAACATAAATTTTCGTCGATGCGTTAGAGAATGCTACTGTTCCTCTGTATATAGGAACGAACATAACTACTTTTTATTCGAAAGCCTATTTTTCCTCAATAAATGAAAGCTCGAAGAAAATTTATAGCTTTCAGGATAGACTAAATATTTTCTGAGAGGTTTGTCGTCTTACGTATACTACTACATGATGCTTAGGTAAAACACCATTTCTCCACAATCGATAAAAACCACGAGGAGCTAAGCGTTTTACCTTTTCAGTATGAGGTTGTGGGGATTGTTAAATTTAATTTACTCCATGAATCATTTAAATTTTGACAATCACTAAAACTTTTGAAGTACTAGACAGCTGTTCCTTAATAATATGCGGCTTATCGGCTGAGCGTATTCAAGACTTTGGACCCATTAATCAAATCCAAGGCCTGCAACCTTGAGATCGAACACTTAACCTGTGGACGACTGAGACGAGGTACATTGACGTACTGGTCCAACTTCAGACATTCATTGTATTGTGGAATAATCAACAATCTTGTGACAAAATACGACGGTGGTATTAAAAATTTACCAGCTGATCTGGTTAGTTGCTTAAATGTTGATGTCGATCCTCTGGATGTTCAAAAAATTCCGCTTTTCTCAAAAGTAGAAACATGTGTCTACCCAACCTATGCTAACAGTCTACACGCTCTGGTGACTATCGGAATAAGTCTTCAGGTGACTGAGTTCTTGTATTTTTTTTCCAATAAGTTTTGAATGTCGTGCTTTGATATAATCAAAAATCAATTCTTTGTGGATTTACCTTTGTACTGATTTTCACACTGATTCTGTTATCTTTTTGGTTGCCTTCGCATCGTGAAGTGCTTTTATTTCTAGAAAATTTAGTTTACTGTTTTTCTAGAAATTTCCCGGCTGTTATATTCAGATAAAGCGCTTGGAAATTAAGCAATAATGAGCCGTTCACTAATCCGTCATCTGACTACTAAAACATTTACGTGATCAACTCACCAGCAGAAAACTTTTCATCCAGCTCAGATTTTCATTAAGGCTCACTTTTTTTAGCTCGCTAAAATATATAAACTCGACAACTATCAGGTGTTGATCTGAAGCTTTGTTAGACCCTTTCTTGGTTTTCACGTCTTTCATCGACCTCACGAACCTTTTACTGATGCAAATATGATTTATCTTGTACTCCGTAGCGTGGTCCGATGAGACTCATGTAGCTTTGTGTATGTGTTTGTGTGGGAATATCGTGCCGCCTAAAACCATTTAGTTGAATGTACATAGATTTGCAAATCTATCACCATTCTCGCTTGCTTCTACTAGTTCATGTCGTCTTACGATATTTCCAGATCAGGTATTGCTCATTTCGACTTTGACGTTCAGGTTCCCCAACAAGATGATCAGGTCCATTCCTTAGAATTTTGTTATGACCGATTGCGAACTCTCGTAGAATTGATCCTTATTGTCGCCACTGCTAGTATCGGTGACTACAAAACATAAGATAACATTCACTACAATTCATTCATTCTTTGTTTTGAAGAATGGTTTGATTACTCTGTTCCGATTAGATTCCCATCTTATAAGCGTTTTTCCTGACTCCTTGGAAAGCACCGAATCAACTCATCGTGTGTGGAGCATTTTCTTTCTCGGAGCAGGGGTGCACCAGCAGCTCTTTTGAATCCATTCTTTTCCGTTCAGCCGGTGTCTAAATGGTTTCTCTGATTACGAAAACCGCGAAGTTTTATCTACTCACTTCCGTGTGATCTAATCGAATAAATTTTGATTCGTCACTCCTACGTTCAAAAAGAACATTGGCATTTTGGTCGTTACAATTGTTCTTAAATTCACTGGACAGAGTTTGAATGATCGAATTTATTTACTGTGGTTAACGCTAGCTTAGCAAAATTGTTGTCTATGGGATGGGGATGCCGACACCATACCCAACGCTCCATTTTTGCACGGGTTTTAGTCGTGCAATAACCGCAGAAGAGCTACAGGTGGAATTTTATTGGTGCCATACCTATATTATTTCTGTGCGAATTGTGTTTTGCTACGGACAACATATTAACTTTTATAGACTTTTAGTATCCTTCAATTTAATCACGTCAGTGAATTATTCCTCGATATATGTTGTACGCAATAGCCAGAATTTTCAATTTTGTTGTGATGACCCTAAATGTTTTATCGTACTCAGTCCTGTAATTTGAGAACACATAATTTTTCAGATACAAGTGAACGTTGCATTCAAGGGTGCGGAGATTCATGTGTTGAAGCAATAATAACTTTCTTTGTATAGTGAGAAGTTAGGACTCCTTGTCATCCGGTGACTTCATTGCGATCCCACAGAATGTCGTCTGAAAGTATTTCGGTATCACAAAATGTCGATAATGGCAAAAGTGATTTGTTAGTGCTGGTTTTATTTCGCGCTTCCATTTCCACACGTTGCACATGGTTTTATTTCCAGAGTTATCAATTATCTGCAAATCCGATAAAAAGTCGTACTTCTTCCATTTACAACTATTGAACTAGTATTCTGCATTGAATGATATATTCCTAGAGTCCTCGTGAGCTGCAATGTCTCAACGTCAGCAGACACATAAGGAACCATTTGAATCCTATCCTTCTCACTGATTCGCACTAATAACCTCCTGGCCGGAATGAGCTCACTGACCCTCGATTCCGAAAGGTAAAGTTTCATAAGAAGCGAAAATGACTCACTTAGTTCTTAAAAAGACATCAAAGCAATGAGGAAACGTGCAGTGGACAATGTATTGGGACATCTGCCAGAATTTCGTCAACTCAATTAAAAATAAACGATCTACGTTATCTTTGAAAATCCATTCCTAAATATTTCCTTAGAGCGTCTTTTATAACTACAATTCGCAGAGGCCTGGTAAACTGGTTTAAACTAGATTGGTGATGCAGCCAAATTAGATATACCTCTTCACTTTATGCGAAAACAACTTGGCACAGTCACATCAAAATTTGTTCTTATAATATACAAAACGTAATAACAGTCTCATCTCGATCTCCCAAACGTTGATGAACCCAGTCTGTACAAAAGAGATATCAGTCTCTTATATTCAGTACCAATATGAGTGATTAAGTGAATGTTAAGATCAATAAATCAAACCTACGGAGACAGATGTCGATATTTGGTGTCATTTTCGCCAAGCTACAAGAGAATAAAATATTATTTAATAATAACGCACACATGTCATATACTTCAAGTCATCAACGTTTTAATAGAACATCAACACAACAACGCTTAAGCTAAAACCCAAAAACGTTTACATCAGAGGGCGAAAATCGAGGTATTCTCACACTTATTTCTCATTTGCAGTCCCTCCCATTCAGAATGCTCTCCCAGTTGAGATTATTACAGCTTCCCCAGTGGATTGCCTTAAGAAGCGACTTGATAAACACATACTGATTCATCGTTTACCTTGAACCGCTTGGAATGGCTGTGCTCGATACATGTCTTGTAACTTACACATTACAATAGTTCAGACAAGTCAGTAGCTCATTCCTATTTATCTAATTTTTACACTATTTTGAATTTTCTCTCACAATTCGGCTTGCTCACACGACCTGGATCACAATTAAATAACTAGTTTACTTAGTCAATCACAGTAATAACCGTCAGCTCCTAGTATTTTATTTCACGGTGACACTAACTCACTTTGCTCCCGATAATTTAATGATTGCTGGTTCCAGAAACCACAATGATTTGATAAAAATTTATTCACTCAAATTTCAAAATAAACAAACCCACGAATAACTACAAAAATGTGTAGAATTAATGCAGTTGAGTGGTTAAACTACCTTCCACTGCACTTTGGTAAAGACGGGAAACGTACTTATTTAACAAGAAATGACTTCAAATAAGTCAATCAGTCGATAGCAGACAGCCTTTCAAGTTATTTTATAGTGGATGTGTTTTAATTTACAATCTTCTAATAAGCACCATATAAACAGAAAGATGAAAATTCAAATTGCATGTCGAAATCAACAAGTCGAAACAAGGTAGAAAAGGGAAAGAACATCAATTCATCTTTCATCGTTCAAGACGTGATCCCTGGAAAAGCTTCAGAATCAGAATGGTTAGCATGAAATTATTCGTTATCTGTTCAGGAATGAGTTGATAGAAGATGACTTAGCAGAAAAGACATGCCATGATATCGCCAAAGATATAGTTGATGAAACACTCAGTGCTATATTCCAGATATATTTAAAGGACCAATTAATACCATTTGCAGTCAATCAAGCATCTCTGTGCCTCATGCAATACATTGACGTAAATAACGCCATACAATTTTGTATATTAAAATGCGTAGTTGGAGTTCATGTCCTGCGATCAAGGAGAGCCTTATATTAATCTTAATCCAGAGTGGTTCGAAGATGAACGTATGTACTGGTTTTTATAACCGAACTATGTCTGTTAGTTGCTGAATCAAGTAGGATAGATTCATGGGCTCAAGGAGCGATTTCCAAGACTACTTATGCAAAGATTTCAGACAATCTACAACCCCAAAATAATCATCAGTTTTTACAAGGGCTTGAAAATAGTCTTATCCACAAGTGGGTGCTTCCGTGTTTCATTTGACGAACGTATTTTTTGTCATGAACATAATGCTACTTTAGTAGTTTTGAATATGCATAGTATGATAGTTGAACTCGTGAGTCATTTAAAGCTAGACCACCATGGTAAACCTGAATGCACTGCACGGCCGTTTCGTCCTGACACGGGACTCCCCAGCAGTGCGCATTCACGGTCATGCCCGTGAGATTTTAACTCAAGACCTATCACTATCGCACGCGAACACTTAACCTCTAGACCACTGAGCTAGGATCCAATGGTACGGTTGTTGATCGGATAGCGAGGCAAAACAAAATGACGTGCAATGAAGTAGGCGAGTATGCCAACTCGATTTTACCAGTATTTATAGCCAGATAAAAACAAGACAGACATGTGATGAATAAGCTAAGAAATGCACACACGCATGGTAATAATATGACTTAAGAAAGATTAATAAAGTAGCTTTTCTAGAGCTATATAGGCTTAACATAGCAACCGACACTATATAGATCCTTGTAGAAAACAGCACATTTTTTAATTAAACGTTCGATTTCAAAATAACACTGAAATGATGTATGGTTAACGTTATCAATACTCAGCGGAAAAGTACTATATCCGATAAAGTATAGTGTCCCGTGAGGGGTGAGTATATTATATGAAAGTGTTATGCTTATATAAAAAGGGACGTGCGTATCGTAAAGATGCGAATAAAATGAAAGACTTAGCATGTGATTATGAGTCAGTTAGTAGGTGTACAAAAACGTAACATGCATTTATGCCTTCTGAAATACGACAAGTACTCTCGAGTCTTTCACATAAAATAGCCTTGGATCAAAAACTTCTTGCTACATCGCAATTTTTCTATCGTGTTGAAGTTGTTGTGTAGATTTGCCTGGAGTTGTTAGAAGAGCTTAGCTGATTCAGGCGTTCACTTAGAAGACTAATCAGATCGTCCTTAAAGACGAAAATACTAATATTCTTGTCGAGTTGAGGATGACGCTAATGATGTTACCCACGACAGTAATGCAGTTTTACAGTTAAACTATGCAGTTGTGGAAACGTACGTACGTAGAAAGTTCTACGTTGTCGCAAGCTGACTGACTGATCCTATTAATAATCATGTTTAATTTTTTCTTTAACAAATCAGTCGATTAGATAGAATGATAAAGTGAGTGAATAATTGAATTATTCATAGACTTTTAGGCCTAAACTGAAAGTTCGAAAGGAATAGATTTCAGAAGAGAGAGTCATGTGAGAATATATATAAACATGCCTTATGTAATCAAAACATTGGCAGATTATTCGGCTAAAGTAGCACGACTTTAAATTATCTATCTCTGGATGAAGAGCAAAGTCAAACAGTAACCAGTGATCCCTTACTTTCATTTGTTGCAAAATATTAGCGATTTCAATAATACTGTTGAGACCCGAAACCAGATAAATACTTTGTTACTACTTAGAACTCCTTAATACTGTTGAATTTGTGATGTCATATGGAAATGATCCCAGGTTCGTTAGATCTTTTAATGTTCAAAAAGAATCATTTGTATAATTTAAACAAACAAACTCAAGGTTAAAAACGTTCCAATTTATATATTTTATTTTATTATTTCAGAAATGAAGATGTTGGTGAAAATAAAGCTATCCGTAAGGAACATACTGTTGGCATGTCCCATAGTGAAAATCTCCACCAAATATCTATACGACAGAAGAAGCCTCAAAAACTGAAAAACGATTTTAAAAAAGGTAAACAAATTCCTTAAACATCTAATAATATTCATGCAACAAAACAATCGCTGAAAATCAGAGATCACTGGTGTTATGATTAAATACTTCGTCCTATCTGTTGCATCACTTCGTTGGAGCTTTCAAAATTCATTTTACACTTAGTCAGTATTTATTGAACGGTTAACACACCACTGAATCCCTAGTTATTCAGGTTACTTAAATTTGAAAATATTCATTGGAAAACAAGGTGGACTGATAAACATATTTTTCACATAGTATCAGAATGAAGCAAATTTACCTGATATCAGGTCACTTGTTATTTAAGTCCATCCTAAACGAAAATTTGTGGGTCAGTATTGCTTGTTTCAATGAAAACTGTACACTAGTACTGAAAGCTGGAAGATGCTGATAATTAAATGTTCTACTTTCTTGCTTGGAATACTCATTACATGTTCTTAAAACAATAAAATTCTTTGAAAGTTCGAAATTTACAGTTCTCCTTGTTCATTCTTATGGCAAGATGTGATATACTTTCGTTTATTTGTGTCAGATAGTATTGATAGAGTCTTTAGTTTCAATATACATACATTGTTATTGAGTCTACTTTATTGTGAAGAGCATTAACGTTTTTGGGATGATTGTTGTTAATAAGTGAATTGAGAACCGTTCAGAATCAAGATGTATTATCAGAGCTTTAGGATATGAGCACCAATGACCATGCCGAAGATTGCACTCAGTACTATTGCACTTCACAACTACCATGATAGCTTTAGGGCATTCACCTTGAGCTTCTGTTGATCTGTAACATAACACGGTTTTAATTCAATGATTTATATAAGCTCATTCTTAATGTTGTTATTTGCAATAGCATCATCTACCATCGTAAAATGAGTCACTTGTCAGTATAATTTTTTGTTGCCACTACTGAGATTTCTAGTCGACCAGTTTATGTTGGCACATTTGCATCTTGACTAGATAGTCATTATACCTGGCATACAGATAGAGGTGAAATCAAGGATTCACATATCGTCCTTATCAGTGAATGTCATATCAAGGCAATCTACTCGGGGTGCACACATGTCATCTGGGGCATATCGAGTCCTGGATATCAACAACCGGGAATCACAAACCTTGTCTAATGACTTCATACCTTTTAAAGAAGTTACCTGCTATATGCCCTTGGTAGCTTGATGGAAAATGACTTTGTATTAATAACCGGGTTCTAATACGAGGTTCTAGTCCCACTGTAAATATCAACAATATGATGCAGGCATATCCAATTGACAAGTTTCAAATAGGATGAAACTCATGTTCGTAACATCGCTCCTAGCCATATTCTAAATGTAATAAAGCAACAAAATAAATCGTATAGTTATTTCGCTTTTTAATGATATTGGCATCTAATAAACTTTCTTTTCAATTATAGATCACACCCGTATGCCTACCGATCAAGGAGATTCCATCCCTCAACTAACTAAACAGTTGAAAGATTCTACATTGAAATCATCTATAGAAAATGTATCAATGGAAGTGAGATAATTTTCTAATTTTTTTCAATTTCTTCAAAAGAATATATCAGTTAAAAACGACAATAACAGTAAAGAATATAGTCTAACTAGAAAGAAACCAATGAAACCACTCATGAAACCACTGCCTGAAACTATGGTAATTATGGTCATTGTTGAGTGTATATACTAAAATATCCTGTCTGTTTTGTTTATTGTTAGATGTGTGATGGCAGACAACGGAAAGCTTTGTTTGATTTCTGACTGGACTCCTTTTTATGGGTCATAGATAACCGTTGATGATAAGGCTCACACTAAAGAAAACCGATTGCCTAGTGATTCCATGTTCACAATGGCTGTCTAACTTTGGTCGGTCTTGTCTTTCTTTTCTACGTGGATTAAAATGTGAACATTTAATTTCACCATTTCGAACATTGTATTGGCCATGTCCTATTATCATTCGTTCTGTCTCGTAGTATCAGTAAATTTTGGATATGTTACATCAGATTACACGTTAAAGAAAACTAACTTGGATATTTCCGTTCAGTCCAGTTGTAAGAGACGAAGAATGCGATCATTCATAATTTTTAGATAAAAGCGCAAACTACTTTTTTATTTGATAGTAGTTAAACAGAACTAGTAAAATACTGTCTCAGGCTGAATTGGAGCATTTTCTAAAATTATATTTAGCTACAAAACAAACGAATCAATGGATCTGGAAAACTAGTTTTCGACGATGAAGGAAATCTACTCAGTGTACCTAAATTATATCCAGTCAATAAGAGGCAAGATGAATCATTCACGACTGATTCACATTCAAATGAAAGTGATAATAATATTTTGGGAAATAAAATTCCAATTCAATGGCGTTTCGTATCAGAGTCATACTGTAACAATCCAAATAACAATCAGTTTGGCATAAAAATGAATAGTAAATTAAGAACAGCCAGATCGTCCATATCGAATGTAAGTCTTGTCTTTCCTGTATGTATTTTCTTTCTATCCGATATTGTGTTCTAATAGAATTACTATTGGTGGTGATCGATTTGACCTCAAAGGCTTTATGCTAACTGGGACTTGTCAATAACACCAGCCTGTACACTTGAGAAAGACAGTCCTGTCAGTTGGACATGAATACATATCAACCAGATATGTAAACGTGAAACTCACCGGGAAACAACTGATATCCTGAAGGATGAAGAAATGTTTAGATTCTATATAGCTCCTTCTTCTTTTACAAAAAGATGTCTTGTGAAGGTAACATATCAGTTTCAGTTGAGAGTGTTTGATGAAAAGCTTCCCTGTAACAATACTTCGATGTGGTAGAAATATAATGTGAGCAATCATAGGATTCACAATCAGCTTCTATGTAGGAATAGTTACAATGATGATGAAACTATAGACCTGTGGTAACTGAGATGTCGGAGTTATGATTCACACAAATCTAGATAATAATAGGATGATTGTTGCTTCTAGTAAAGTGATATTTGGTCATAAACATTGAGTGATCTGAGTCCAGACGATCGGTAATGGAGCAGTCGTAATTATTTCTTGGTTTCATCTGAATCACAAGTCGGGTTTTATCCTACAATTCTCGATCTTTGATCTCATTAATTTCTGTCAAAAGTGCCATTCATTCAGAGTTTCCTCTGAACGGCGACATTAACATTATTCCACTTTGTCTTCTCTTCAGTTCATTTTAATTCGAACATGGAAATATGAAACAATGTTATCAGTAAGGTGAATATGAACTGGTGAAACTTGGTTCTCCAAATGTGACTTGTATTCATGTTGACCGATATGATAGTTAAGGAAATTAGTATTGATCTGATTGAACAGTAATCGACTTACGATTGTTTTGTCACGGCTCAATGATAAACGCACTAAGAGTAAACTGACAAGATATAAATGAAAGGAGTTGAAATAACAATAATAACGGCATGTTAAATGGTCGTAGGTAGTCGCCTGAGAACCGATGGTGTTGAACTTCATGTAGGCTATCACTTGTTAGTATGGAGAGGGTAATTTCATTATTTATGGAACTAGTACATTGTACGGGATCCAAACTTGTGTCATTCAGTTTCAAGATGTGAGATGATACCAGTAAGATATTCGGGTCACCGTTCTACTTTATTGATTATAACTCAGGAACCATATTTTTAAATAAGAAATGCAGAGTGTGTGAATGCCTGAAGGTTTCTCATTTTGTCGTTAGTGTTTAACTTACTTAATTGGTTACATTAACTTATTCATGGATTCTTTCGAAATATAGTTTTCAAATAAAGTGAGAACAAGAAATCGTAGTTTAGATTTAACTGGTGCCACAGTTACACCTGATGTAATACGTCTACAAAAAATTAAGAATGCATGTATCAATTTGCCAAATACCATTGATCTGGTTGATTTAGTGGCTGGAGTGACAATATCTGATGGGGAACATTTAAAAATTGGTCAGTTAACGGTAAGTCGTTTTTACTGACTTATGTACGTTTTCTTGTATCTTGATTGAACTGACGCTTAGTGTAAATAGTTCTCACAAATGAACAAAGTGTTGCACAAAGCTGACTACATAAATATCTACTTAGTAAATGAGTGTTACATCCACACTTGTTTAGTATTCCTTTAGCCATTGCATTTCACTAGACTTGAAGTAATACAGAATGAAGACAGGAAAAAGTGTAGATGATATTCCAAACGGATGAAATTACAAAAGATACGGTAGCAAAAAGACAACACTGTTGCCTCGAAAAGGCAGTGAGTAGGAGTACCCTGACAGTGGTTGTAAACACGTGTCCACAAAAGAACATTTCGTGCGGGAGAAAGGACATTCCTTACCACCGGTCGTATCACAGCATTTTTCCTGTTAAACAAATCAATTACACATATTCTCCCTGTGAACGTTTTTCAAACGTCTATCATGATACCTAATCGTCAATTCAAATACTTTATAAAATCGATTTCCTCAAAGTTTTCCGATACTTTCTTTAATTATAAGGGATTTGATTAGCGAAGGATTTCAACAACGATCAGTGATCACAATGATTAACACGATCTTAGTAATTGTCAAGAAGATAATCGATTTTGGTTTTCAGGAGGAAATAGATTGGACGTATCGATTTCTAATAAATCAAATTTTCAAGTGAATCGATATTAAATCTAAAATAATTGTGTTGCATAAATATTTACGATTGGAGAAGTTACACCACGAAACTATTGAATTAAGAGAAATACTACAACATAACTAGTTGTGGATAGCAGCAGTACACTAACGACCTCATATGGAACATTCAATTAGACGATAGACTTACTTGATCAACCATGTTGAAGTCATAGTGTAACCTGTGGGTCCAGGATTCGATCCCACCATAAATGTGTATCAGTTCATGCTATAACATTTCAGATCATCACAACTATAGGAAATCAAGTGATCCAATGGCAGTAGGTAGTTTGATGAAGTAATCATTGTTATCTCATGCGACGAGCTAGTTGGACTGAATTGGTTGGAGTAGTAGATGTTCAAGGTTCTTCTTTTTCTGATGATGGAGCATGATAAGACCAAAGTCTGGACAATGAAGTCCAAAGAATTAGCCACACCACTGTAGTGAAGTCTGTTATTAATAAAATTACTTTTGCTTGTACTTTAGATATATTATAAAATTGTCTCGAAATAGAAAGAAATAGGAGTTATCAACAGCCTAGTATTCAATTGAGTAACTATTCATAGAAAGATTAGTTTCAAGTTATTGTAACTTGTGGTCACATGTTTGTTAATTGTAACAGTCATTATGTATGTCTAACCCAAAATTCATCTCGACGTTATACAGTCGAAGTCGATTGCCAGTAAACTCTAGACGCTAGTTATGTTGGAACTCATCACCAAAGTGTAGTCACAATTCTGAAACAATTGATCCTCCTCTATTGACTAAAATGCCACATGTCTCTTCACTTCGTCATGAAGTAAATGATGTTAATACTGAGCGCTTTAGAATACAACTAATCTCCTAGAAGACTGAAACATTCCATGTGTACAGTTCTGTCATGACATAAGCTCTTGAACCATCAGAATGATATATTCCATGTTAAACTGTGACTGAATAGCTCGGTTTAACATTTCAGTTTGTGACAATGAATAGCATGGCTTCAGATGCCATATCTGACTTCCTTAAGATTAGAGATTCATCTTTCTAATGAGTGTTAATGAACACGAAACCATGAAATGCTTCCAGTTGATTACCTTTCATCATTTAAACATTTTATTTATGAATTTTAAAGCTGATTAATATTATTTTACATGATTAATATTTTAATACTTGAATGCATGATGTTGCGCACTAGTGACTAACTTCAAGAAGGATTTCATGGAGTTCTAGTAAGAAGCCAAGACCATTGGAGTTCGATTCGTGTCAGGTGAAGACAATTATCCACCTCAGACTATGGAGGAAGAGTTGCGCAATATCATGTATTGACGAAAGTTATACATCAACAGTGTTGTAAGCCGGCTCAATGATCTAGAGGTCAAGTGCGATAAGGAAGATTCTGCGTCGAAGTCTCCCATAAGGCATCGTTGATTCGCACTGCCGAGGAATCTAATACTAGAATAAAAGGGCTGTCCAATGCTTCAATGGTGGTTTCGCTTAGATCGATTCATGAATTCAACAATTAAAATTACTACACTCTCCACAAATCCTCATTCTGATAATAATTAATATTGTTATACCTTTATATTTCTATATTTCTAATCGTAGAATGAACAGTTCACGTCAATATTGAATACAAACTGGAATAATCTCGACGAAATTCCACCAGTTAAAGCGAATTAAACTAATTAACCACAATGATTTATAATCTCAAGGTGTTTATTCACATGGATCATTTACATTTAAGACAAAAATCGTCTCTTTTCTTCTTACATGAAACTGTGTTTTTTAAAACAAAAAAATAATCACCATTACACATTGATATATTCAAATGGATTGATCTTTTTGTTTTGTTTTAATTGTGGTTATGGGGATTGATGATCGGTGTAGGAGAAGGTTGAAAAGAAGGACAAAGTGATCAGACTGGAATGTATTTTGTCGACAGATCCGGATTATTGGTCTAGAGGTTAAGCATATTTGTGTGGAACCGAAGATCTTAAGTTCGAGTTCCACGTGAGAGATCGTGCATGCACATTGGTAAAGAGTCTTATAATAGGATGAAATGAGCATCCAGAACTCCCAGGTTTTCAGTGGTAGTTCAACATCCATTGATTCGTGATCTCGTTTAAAAACTCAACGACTTCCACAATCTTATACTGATGATTCTAAAGCGTTTGAAATATGAGACAACGAATATTTATTATTATGATTATTTGATCGTTGGATAGATATTGTCATTTGATCAATATAATTCTATCAACATCATTAAGGTCTAGAGCAATATGATATCAGATACTACTTAGTGAATAATCAGCATACATTAAACTCTTATATGAAAGTGTAATACATTCAGTCTTTATTACTTAGAATACAGATATATGAATGAAGTATATGCTTTTCAATAAATGTCCTTCAGTTTCGACAACCATCTTATCCAAATAAATCATCCATGGAAGGGTTGTACGAGCATTAATCGAATTGTGTCACCGTATCACACACCTAATGATCAACCACCAATCAATCCAGAATTTGGTCAAACGAGCGGTTGAACATACTTCTTCTTCTTCTTCTTCTAAAGTATTCCTAGTCTGATGGATATAGACAGATTGCTGATAACACGTTGCATTACTGTAAAGTCAACACTTCATATTAGTCATCCTCGCAACAAAGTTTCTATTTTATTTTCTATCACAAACAATCCTCAATTCACATACTGTCATTTATAAACGATGCATTTTGTCTTAAATCTGACCACATTTTGGATGATCCATTTGGCAAAGATGATTGTAGACACTGAAGAGAATTTATTGAAAGGTATATTCTTCATTCATTTATATTAAAAATTCCTTATTGATTAAAATGTATTGATTATATCCCAGTGATATCGTAACGAGCAAAGAAGTGAAATGAGGAAGACCGATTGATTGTTTAATGCAAAATACATCATTTGCACATCTTCTTTGAATCGTCTCTTACAAGCTTCATTGTTCCTTCACTCCTATTGTTATCTTGATTACTTTCGATTTTCTTCTGTCTTCTCTTCACTTTAATTCTCTCAACCTTCGGTTCGTAAACATTCCACCTCCGACTAGTGTTACATACTACTTATATCAGCATACATTAGTAGCATACAACGCATCTCCGAATATTATGCATCAAAATCGAATACAGAATGTTCATAGAAGTCGGTATCTTTCTGAATTTGGAAGTAGTTTATAAAGTGATTATGTGAATATTGTTGTTTAAAAGAAAAACACTGTCATATACAGACAACAGAAACTTTATGTATGATCTTCATTGTTACTTCGATAAACTTAAGTTGAGTCAAAAGAACCTTGATGAGAATCCAACTTACATTTTGCTTCTAACATTTATGTAATTACTCTGAATAGTCAATTACTTAAGATGAATTCTTCGTTTGTTCTCTCGATCAATATTCTGTATTACATAACTTATTTCATAGTTTATTCTTTTATTCTACCGGATGCTTAACGTTAGTTTTCCCTCATTCACGGCCACTTCTGGCTAATTATTGTACAAATATTATTTTCTGTTTTCTTGGTACGTTGTGGCCGAGTTGGTTGGTATATAAACAGAGTATGTCTGAAATACAATGATTCATATCTCAGAGGCTGAAACTTGCGTTCTGGACTCAACTGGCTGGGCTAGACAGGAAAGCACGGCCAACAAAAACTCTGGGCCGTTCTTACGGGTTTTACGCGTTTTTGATCCGATCGATAAGACACTGATCTCTAATGTTTCAGTCAAAGACACAACAATCGGCACGGGGTAAAAATTGATCCAAGTTCAAGTCACAACACCATGTACCTCCATTCTAGTGTTGATTCCCACCCTGAAATTCAAAACTATTAGTATTAGCTTCAAACGCTCTGGAGATAATGGACTAAGCTCTTGAAGCAAAAATTATTAAATTCGATTTTGATGGAGTTTTGTTCTCTGAGCTGGATGGTTTGTTCGTGGAGCTTTCATCGTTCTTCTGAACGACATCATCAGCACAAACTTCAGATAGAAGTGAAGCGTTTGAATCTCGCCATATGTGGTTCACAGCTAGTCCTCTACACCTCGATGTTGATTGCATTTTGTTGACCTTATATTTGAACATTGTTTACTTCGTTGTTTTCGTTGTATGATCCATCGGTTTGATTTTTGTTCTCATATTAGTGCATAGTTTTCCTGATTGGTTGATTATTTAGGTCGATTTCAATGTGCTTGTTGATTGCTGATTGATCTGACTGCCAAGCTCATAAAAATTCTATGATGTTTTTGGAATTTTTTTCTATCCAAGATTTCCACACTTTTCCAGTGAAATAAGTGTCAGCACTTGTCCACATGTATTGATATAAGTGAGGACATTTCTTCACAAACATAGGAACAAAAATCAAACCAATGGGAGACACAACCAAAACAAGGAAGTAAACAATGACGAATTTAAGGTCAATAAAAACCAATCAACATCGAGGTGTACAGGATAAGCTTTGAACTGCATATGGAGAGATTCGAACGCTTCACTTCTATCGGAAGTTTGTGCTGATGATGAACGATGAAGGCTCCATGACCAAACCATCCAGCTCAGAGAACAAAACTCCATCAACATCATCCACCTGGGCTACAAATCCTCTCCACCATCTTATTAGATTCCAGTCCCGACGTGAACATCAACACCAGGATGGAGGTAGATCCAACTGACGAATCCCAAAGTGTATTAAACTCGCATCTTGGATCCCGCTCCTAACTATTATCCATCTTTACTTAACCACTGATCTGTGTATCGGAAAATAGTGTATTTTTTGTTTCAAAATGACAATTACAAACAACCGAAAATTAAGAAGCATTGTACAGTAGTTTCGTCCAAGTTTAGTGCTATTCAAAATTGTATCACAGTGATAGAACATTGGATCGAACCCAATACCTTTATTTTGCGTAGTGGTCACATTGTTTATGATTCACACCGATAATTTTCGGTCAGTGTGATAGACAGAACAACCATCGTTCACCGTCATAAGAAGTAATTTGTTTCACTTCCAACAACTCTCTAAAATATCTCTAAGATTCTTATGGAAATTAGTCAGCAATGAATACGCGTCTGTTGGTATGAGGGAACGTTTATGATTGCGTAATATGTGGGTCATAGAATACGACTCAGTGATTCGAAGATATCGTAATTCCCAGGATATCCGGATATCTCAGGTTCCTTAGCTGTAATGTATCTTGAGCGCCTATTGCTAAAGAATCTCATACTTGGATGAAACAACCAGTTTTTGGTAACTGAGTTTGTTGGACTATGAACATTTAAAAAATGAACTTGATTAGGTAATGATGAAAGTGATGGAGCGACAAGTAACATATACAAATGTACATTCAACTATCGAATAAATCCTCCTTAGTTTACCATTACAAACTTTCATCAGCTAAACATCATATGAATGAGTGAGTACTGTAAAGCTATTTCATATCAAACACGCTATTACTTAGTAACGCTTACACACGACCTGTCTGGGGGTCAAATCCACCATTGTGAAGTTATTAAACTCCACTGACCTATTATTCATTTGTTCTTGTATCCAACTTCGGTTAGCTTTTCGGTACTTTCTTGTTAAAACTTATATATGTAGGAAACTTAGTGAATCGGACAGGACTATTTAAGCGATATGATGCTTTGAGATGGTCTTCAGTAATTATTCGGTGATTTACACACAGGAATATTGTTATTTAACTTTAGGAAAACATTTTTTATACAATCCGAGTAGAGTGTGAAACAGTCACCTACCAATGACAATGAAACACGGTTGCGCATTGTTGTGGATTAATTCAACACAAACATTAACACTTTTGGATTCCAGCTCAGTGGTCTAGAGGTTGAGAATTCATGTGCAAGACCTGAGGTTCTCGGTGAGTTTGCCGAGTACAAAGTCGTGTATATTCGGTTTCTAGGAGTCATACAATAGGATGAAACAGTCTTCCTGTGCTACGGACGTTTCTACGGAAATTATTCAACTTAAAGTACTTAAAGTTTTGTGATGACAATAATAACTTGTTTGTTAATGTCTAACTCCAACCAATCGACGAGAATATGCCACTGTCCACCATTGTTTTCAGTGAGCTACTATCATAGTGAACAAGAACACGAATGGAGCAATCTTATGAATTTGGAAACACTATTATAGAATATCTCACTAAAATCTAACAACCATACAGTAAACCGTTTCTTTACTTATAAATTTCGATCAATATATTTGAGTGACTCTGATCCGCAATAGATCTATCTAGGCTTAAATGATTACTTGACAGTTTCCCTAAGGTTATGGCATTAGATAATCTCGTTCGGAATACCTCAAACAATACTAAATTCACTTCATTACTGCAGCTTTGCCTTGCAGAAGTACTTCGCACGGTCACTCGTTAGTACCAGCATAGTTGTCATAAGTGATCTGTATTAATGAATAATGTTAGTTACGGTGATTTATTGGCCAATCTCATAAATAAATCAATTCTCTTGCAAATTGTTGTTAATCTACTTTGTCAAAATCAGTGATTATATTCATTTGGCATGTGCATAACTCTTCTTTTTCTTCTGATAGATGAATGAAATCTCTACAGCATCCATTGAAGAGACACAGATTATCCAGAAAACAATCAATAACATGATAAATACTAGAAACCAATAGCACCAAGTCACTATGATGGATGAACAGTCACTGAATTCTTTTCTGATTGGTATGAATCCGTCACAAGAAATCCTTAAACTGATCCTGGCTTGATACGCTCTGAAACTATCAATTAATTCATTACCCAAAGAGAATAAAGCTACTCAGACTGAAGATCCGACAAATACGTCACTTATCTCAGGTTATACAGGACTGTCATCACGATGTGTGAGTATGTCACAAGTGGCTTCCAGTATATTCAGTTCAAACAGAGGGAATTCAATGAACGACAGTCAACAAAAGAATTCATGTCCATTTATTCGAGTTGTAACGCATAAAATTGGTATACTCGTTCATTTGGGCCAACTGGTTAGTTTATCTGAGGATCAGAAATCATTTATCATGCGCAATGTGATTAGTTTCGACCCGTTAAGAGTACATGAACGAACAATTTCAACATTAGAACCAGCGGAAATTCTTGCACTCACTGAATCCAAACTTCAAAGTCAACATGGTAAAAGGGGAAATTTATTGTCTGATTATTTACAAAATCAAATGATGTTCAATACTTCAGTGAAGTAAGCTTGCTTTTCAAGTATGTTTAATTCTGTCTTAATGTATGATACTTTGGTAAATTTTTGTTTCATTTATATTAACTTTCACTCACTGCATCTGTGTGAATTGACTGTATAACCAACTCCATTCGATGTATCCTAAAACAGACTAAGACCGTCCGAATTCCCATCTCGTTCAAATCTCCAACCAGAAAGGCATCTTACTCGGACTATTGTATTTTACGCTTGATCCTAAGTTCCAAACCTACCATATAAATTTTTTATTTGACTAGTCCAAGATTTCTAATCAAATTATCATTGTTTCCTAATCTTTTGTACTATCACCAATATTGTTACTACCACTACTACTCTGGAATTCGCCCTAACGATTTCATCTTACTGTTTGCTAATGAGATGTGGTGACTTCGACCGATGTACACTTGTGTCAGGCTCTACGTTGTATATGACTGACTGATACATATGCATAACTGGCACTACAATGTATAACTAGACACTTTTTGATGCATTTGATTTTTAGTGGCCCATTGATCTGACTCGTATTTAGATCGTATAAATGATTGTTATCGCCTATTCTCGTATATCATCGTCGACTTAAATCGCGTTAGTCAATAACGGAATTAAATAAGTCGAATAACGAGAATTGACTTGAGAATATATATATATATATTTTGCATATGGAGCGAATGAAGCAGAGCAAAGCAAAATGACACGTATGGAAGATGGCTGGGAATCCAACTCCACTTTACTCAAGCGTTACTCAATATTTATAGTCAGACAAAATAAGCTACAGACATGTGATTAATGGGATAAGAAGGGCACACACGTATACGCTCATATAAAAACAGTGAAGACTGATAAACGAATAAATAACAAGGTCAAAGTATGGCTCAAGTAGAATGAATAAAATGGGATGTCCGAAAGCTAGAATAAGGTATATGGGCTTAGCATAATAACTGACACTACAGATTAACAGTAAACGATCAGAAAGGGGTTTCTGTGGATATTATATTAATTTAATAAGTGAGGTCATAAGTTAAATAAAGCTAGATCACCGTGGGAAACCTGAAAGCACTGGACGGCCGTTTTGTCCTCGCCTGGGACTCCTCAGCAATGCGCACTCACGATCCCGAATGGACTGTAAATTCTAAATGATGAAATGTATATCAATTCCAAGTAAAATGTTCGGCAAAACTGGATGTTATACGGTATGTACAGAGGAAACTTACACTCTCCAGATGATATTTTTATAGAATTTTTTATGAGCTTGGAATATTTGGAGAAAAAATATTAAATAAATGTAGGATTCTTTTCATGAGTTTGGAAGCGCTGTTTGAATTTCTTATATCCACCAACTATTCTCAACATTTTATCATACCATTTTTGAAGATCGTACATGTGTGTAGTACCATAAATTATTCAATATGTAGATATGAGAGTTGGAAAAGCAAGAAAAAAATCATTCGGTGAACATTGGTTGTAGAAATGATAACCGCCCAAGTTTCAGAAATGCTCTTTTGAGCCTACTTTCAATAAAAATCGTAATATTTGGTCCAGAATATATGCTGCACAATCATAGCTACCGCCCACATCGATGTGTGATCGTAGCTGGAGTAGAGGTAATTTGGACAAATGTTGATGAACTAACAAATCAATCTGTATGACTAATGACTATTTATATAAGTCATGTAATGAAGTGTAAACTCTCTACATCTAACCCTAAAGGAATTTGTTGTTATCAGAAGGGGCTTTGTGGAGATCTTAGAAATGTCACTGGCTGAAACTATGAGTCAATTGAAGCTAGACCACCATGGAAAACCTGGAAGCACTGGACGGCCGTTTCATCCTGGTACGGGACTCCTCAGCAGTGCGCATCCACGATCCCGTTCCTCGCGAGATTCGAACCCAGAACCATTTGACAACTGAGCCGGCATCTAACGGTGTTAATGTCTAGCTTCAACCAATCCACGAAGTTGAACCACCGATTACCATTGTCTTCAGTGAGTTGATATCTCACAACAGACCTGGTTGAACTCCACTGGTAACGGCTTCTCACTAGAACTAGAACGTGGAGTCCCATACTAGGACGAAACGGCCGTCCAATGCTCCCAGGTTTTCCATAGTGGTCTAGCTTCAAGTGACTTGTGATTTCAACCAGTAAAACTGTGGTGAATGAGAACACAGGTGAGGATAACCAAATTATATTTAGCACAAAATTACAGAGTTACTTCAGAAAATAGAAAAACCCTATAGTAAATCGTTAATTTGCAAAATATCATTCCATCATATAAAACCGGACTGTTGCTGTTGCAAACATCAATTTATTGTCTCACATTTCATTGTTCATGCGATTTCTTACAAACTTCATTGTGTTCTCTCTCTTCCTTTCTTGATCTTCCCAATCTTCTGCTGCCAGACATTACGTTCTTTTAACTCACGTTATACAGTACTTATATCAATATAAGTAGCATGCACCACAAAACTTCTAGAATCTTCACAAAACCCCTTTTGATAATAATCATCTGCTCACTAGTGACTGACTTCAAGAGATACTCCTGGAGTTCTAGTGAGAAGCCGTCTAGCTTTAATGGACCCATGATTTCAACTAGTGGAATTTGTTGTTACTGATTTTAAGTGCTATAACCCAGAATTGTTCAGAGCAGAACAGTTGCTTACCTCCCCTATTTACACATAAACCTTGAGTTGAGAATCATTCCCAGATTCTCATTCTTTCATTTCCATCATTCCCTTTGAAATTTACTTCAAACCAATTCTCTTTCATTGGCTCTCGTTTTTTTTAATTTCCATTCTCCAGTTGTGTCGATTTCACCAATTCTTTTTGAATAAATCATTCTGCTGACTGATTTAGCTTTACATAGAAATGTGTACAGATAATTTAAGGTATATCATTTCTGTACTTTAAACTTTATGGAACCAACCTTCTATGATGAATTCTTCAAATGCAGTATTTATTGTAGAGACGATGAATTGCTTGTACACACTTGTTTCATCTATCCAGTGCAAATGTGTTAATATATTAGCTGGCCAGAAGATTCAGCTTTAAGATTTTTTTAGTTGATGTACTGCCGTGGTTTGAAATGATTTTATAAACCACATAAGCCAGGTACTGCTTCGGACTGAGTATACCAAACCTGTAGGATGTGTGAAAACCTCACTTAGTGGCATCACATTGACTGACTTCTCATTCATTTTGACTAATAAAATGTTTTGATCCCATGGTAACTTTTATTTGCATGAATATTGTTGTACCGATATAGAGAGAGCTTTAATGTTTATACACGTGCGTGTTTTGTGAATCCAGCTCATCATGTGAGAACAGCAAGCAAGTGAATATATCAGAGCAAAAACATGAGGCAGTGCACGGTCCATTACTTATCACTCCCAGTGATGTCCTTATTCGTTTAAGTGAAGTACGCGAGTTAAGCATTGTTCCAGTAATTCGCTTTGACCACCCTAAGCAAATGCGACAAGTCAGCTTGAGGTATGGATCTCAAAGAATAACTGAAGTCAAGAAATAGGGCCCCAGTCAAGACATCATTAATACAGGTAAATTTTCAGAGAGTACAAACAAGCGGTCAGATTCATCAATACAGTGTAATGAGTATACGGATATTACCAACAGCTCTAAAAGTCTAGATCCATGTGATGATACTGGTCAATTAAATGAAGTGATCACTAACGGCTTTTCTAAACGAAAGGAAATCGACTAGGAATTTGACAAGAAGCCTTCATTGAGGGAGGGAAAGAACAAGATGAAGGAGGAAGTTAAAAGAATAGAAGAAGGAGAAGAGAAATCGGACTCTTCGATGAAGCATTTAAAATTTTCCGAAAGTAAATCGATCACACAAGTAAACTGCAATAACAGTACGGACTGTAACAACAGTCAAAGTTTCCAACAAAACCTATAAGAACAAGTCCCAGTACAACAGAAAGGAAAAAATGAAGCGAAACCACTTTCTGTACACAAAACGAAAATACGTAACACGTCTGCAGGAGGCGACGAGAACGACGTCTTTTGAACAAGCAAAGATATTCGGAGGTAGGTTTCTGGATTAGTTAGTTTTGTTTTTGCATCAGCTACAGTTTTTGGTTGATTGATGGTTCCGCGTGTCATCTGTAAAGAACTGTGATTGTTTGCAGAAATATCTATGGTAAACCTTTAAACGACTGTTGACTTGACCAAAGTCATTTATTGGTTCCTTATTTTGACTAGGCAGATGAATGGTATCATTAGTCATCGTCGTTTTAAAGACTCGAAATGGATTACGCGAGCTTGTGTTTAGTTAAAATTGAGATGTAATAGATAGGACGTTTCATTATGACTTATTGTACCAGGTGAATTTATTTCATCAATAAAAGTAGCCTAAAATGCATTTTGAAGTATTAGACATATATAGCAACTAATTGTAGGAACTGATATCATCCCGTTGTGTGCATTCGGGACTATGATTTGTAAGTCTTTGTCGATGTTTTTTGACCGGGGGGCCTCGTTTAGATTTTTTTGGAAATTGTCACAGCTGCATGTACCTGAGTATACTGGTGATGATGTTCTCAATGAATTCACGTCTTACCTTGAACATTATTAATAATGGACTTCAGGTACATCCAACTGACGACAAATTCCTCAAGCAGGATAGACCCAATTTTGTTAAATGTTCTGCTGATAGAAAACAGTGAAACCGGTTGCAAGCTTAGTTGTTTTAATAATAACCCATTAAGTTAGTGTTGTTGTGTCCTAGTTACATATATTTCCATTGATTTAATGCTTATCACCCAGCAACAGTTGTCAGGGTGGCATTTTCTTCCCGTTTCTTTCGGAATATATGTAAACTGAAATGTGTGCTCAACTCGAAGGAATTTAAAAATAACACACTCTGTGATGATTTCGAACATTTAATTAGGGGTCGAATGAAAGATATCAGATCTTTCAACAAACCCTTATCTTTTACATTGTTGAATCGCCATCCACTTCATCTAACACAGTGAGGAATGGTCAGGTTAGATGCAGGCCACTAGATAAAAACTGAAAATTCATTGATGAATTTATTTTATCTCACCTACTTGGGCTTCTATGGTATACGTTCAAAGTACAAAATTCACCACATACCTTGATATGAATTCCTGACTGACGTGGAAATCGGTCGGAAGCGAGGTAGAGGCGATTAAACAAATTTACTGACTGTTGATTTGAGTCATGTTAGTAAGCGCTGGAGTTCAGGCAACAACTGTGATCAGTAGTCAGAAACATGCAGCTGGAAAGTCCCAATAAGATTGAGAACGACTACTGGATTCCACTGCTAGCAACATCACATTTATTCTATTAAACAGGTTGGAGATGTTAATTGTCATAGGTATCAGTACTGTCTTATCATTAGTACGTCACTTTCTAGGTTATGAGTTTCGCTATCATTTCGTACTTATTCTAAGAACCTACTACGTTTTACGAAGCGAGTTCTCTATATTTTCTCTGTTTTATTGAGATTAATTACTATTATTATTGTGATTCGTTTGTTATTCATTATTTTTAATTTCATCTTTGATATACCAACGTGATAAGATATAACAACCTATGCCGAACCACCTTTCTTCCACGCAACACGCTGACCTATCCACCCTGTCTTGAGGAATTGCCTAGAATAAATAAGTGTCAAGTGGCAATTAGTTTCCTCTAAGATATATTTATATATAAGATATATATATCATATTTAAAGTTATCAGTGTCAAAGACGAGGTTTTCGCTAGCATAAACTATGAACGTTTCTTATAAATAGATTTTCACTGATTGCTTGTCTATAATGTTGACAAATTATAGGGTGGCGGTAAAACGCAATCCAAATCTGTCAACATCTCTAGTTCATCATTCTTAAAATGCCCAACATCTACACCACATTTGATAAATGGTCGTTCTGAAGCATCATCAAGATGGTACGATAATGGCATTGTGTCGATAACAATTCAACAGTCGTCAACAAACTCAACTATGAACCACTCAAATAGTTTGTTGAAACCAAGACAGAAAACACCAGTGAAAGATCGCAGCTTGAAATAAATGAAACCCAGTGAATGATGACTAGCCATCTGTTGTATCTTCAAATTTAACATTGACAATGCTACTGTTGTTTTGTCGATATTATCAAATAAGTTTAATCTATCTGGTTTTACTGTTTCTCATTCATGCTGTAGATTTAGTCAAGCTTATTGATGAAAAGAAATGTGCATTCATCATTCTTATCATATCATAGTCTGAAAATTTCGGTCGATCATCATAAAACCTTATTTCATGTTAGGTGGTTATAACTAGTCGTTTCGATACTTACATTGGTTCAGACTTTCATGTCACTTGGCTTTCATTAATGAAATGTGCACATTATCCTGAATCAAACGATACTTCAATCCATTAAGATTCAAATCGGCTTTCCCAAATATCTACTGACATTAAGGGGTTATAGGCATCAGTTTAGAGGAATTTTAAGTTAGAAGAAAACAGTTAAGCGAAAAATATACAGTTCTGACTAACAGACAAGATTTAAGTTGGAGTGTCATGGAGTTCTGAGCAAAAGTCAAGGTGTAATGGTGGACAGCTTATTTCGCACGAAAAGCTAAGTAAGAAAGAGGTAGAACCTACCATTACTTAGTCAGTAAGACGTTTAACACTGATTATTACGAGAACAGCAAAAATAAGTAACTAACTTGAACGATTCTTAAAATAACAATGAGAAAGTGATTAATTTGCGATGTAAAAGGGAACACAAACAAATACATTTAAGGTTTTCACAAACCAGGAAGATAGTAGGTGGATTTGTGAAGACAACTTAAAGGTTTCTAGTATATGAAATCATGCAGAAACTGTACATGTATTTATCATCATGGCTACCAAGTATTATTCCGTACTCGATTCCTAAATATCGCTACTAACTTCATAACTTAACCTTCACTCCTAATCCGACCATTTCTCGAGTTGTCTAAAGAATAGTGCTATCATATCATCTGCATTCTCAGTGAATAATATTTAGCTCTGGACTCTCATGGTAATTTGAGAACCACGGTAGGTCACCAGTAGAACACATCCCTGTCAACAATTACTCAGCAAACTAATATCACTATTAGAATGATTCGCAACATTGGTGAATAGACTAACGTCTTAGGGTTCCTCGCTGAATGAAGTAAAGTAGTCTATCAACGTCACTGTAAGAAGAACACAGATAATCAACGAAAAGTTCGCTTTCGAATAATTCGTCTGTTTTCAAACGTTCATCGTTATTTGGTTTTATTTGGATCAAGGTGTCTACATCCATAGAGATAGAAACAACAGAAATAGTAAGATATTACGAAATAGATAGACGAAATGAGAATACCCACATTATTCATATAAAAGCATAATTAAATAAATTTACTTGTGAGCGCTTGTCCATGTACACAAAAACGAAATGAAGCAATACAATTAAAATACCAAGGTTTAAGAACCAAATCAATTTAATTGAAGATTGAACTAGTTTCCCCATGTTCTTCAGGAAATACAAATGTTCGTTAAATACGCAGAGAAGTAAGGAGCATAAGGATGATTGAACATTGAGTCTAAATTGTTTGTTTTATCATCCATTTAACAAGTTGCCTAAATCACCACGCATCCGCCTTTTTCTTGCAATGGATTATCTTTCTTACTCGCAAATCCTGAAACAAGACAATCTTTTTCTCGATTCTGCTCCATATACACAATCATTTCTTGCACACATTCAGAAACAGGACGACGATTTAAATTTGCTTCTTGACGTAGTTGTTCAACTAGTTTACGTTATTGGCTCAAAGTTGAGATGGTTTGTATTTTGACTGGACTGTTACTTTTGTCTGATGAGAATCCTGGAAGACGAAGAAGCAAAACAGATCAACATGTAGGATAGATGAATATTGTAGTGTTTTGAACATAAACATTTAAAGGTTATGACTTCCATTTCGGATAGGCAGAAGTCAGCTGGTGGAGTCAGTGAATAGATCACTAGAATGAACGCTGTTCTGCGTACCTGATCGGACCAGTGTAGCAGTATCATCCGATGGCTGTCAACTGTTTATTGTGAATATTTATCCGTACTTGGAGGAGAGTGTATTTATCAATAACTGTCAACACTAGCTTAACTGTACTTGGTGAAATCGGTAACATAAATCAACCTGAGGAGCTTCATTGAAGCACTCTGCGGCACTTAATACACAGATTCTGATTACGTTGTGTTGTAGAAGTTGATAAATACACTCGTGGTCTATCAAAGATACTTACATAACTAGTGAACATTCACATGCAGTGTACTAATAAATTTTAACAGATTAGGATATTAAGGTTAAATTGTTCAGTTTGTAGTTTATATTATGGACTTTCGTTGATCGGATAATTCTGTTAACCGTCTAAGCTTAATCTCAATAAGTGCTATGGATATCCAATGTTAAGTAATATTCCAAGACGAAGCAGTTGTCCACTGCTCCCTGGTTTCAATGATTATTTCATTTAAACTGAAAATTCAGGTCAGATTATCATCGGATAATTCCTTTTACGATGTACTACACAATAATCCTTTCGCTTAGTTATTCCCCTAGTTGAATACTTTAGTAATTCAAGCAGTTGATTATAATTTTCTGGATCAGGATTTCAACACTGTTCCCTGTAATTCACTTCGATTAGCTCAGCTATCATTGTGATGAAGTTTTATTGCAGAAATCTTATTGTCTATAAGTAATCCATAACTATGAATATCACAGTTCTACAGTAGTTTACGCATGGCAACATTTCAAATGATGATACTCTGTCATATTCCATTCAAACAATGGAGAGTGCCAGAGATTTTCTCTTAAACACAATAGAATAATGCTAATAACCATTCGAATCACAGAACACATTGGTCAAATCATTATTCAACTTACTGAATCTAATTGAATCACAAGTTTCCAAATTGTGAAAATGAATAAATAAATCGTCACATTAACTTTTCATTATTACTTATTCAACGGAATTATATTCCTTCTTCCTATCGATCAATACCCTTGAAAGAGGGAACAAGGACAACTGATTCATCCAATCAAAATACAGAAGATGAAATCAATAATCCAATTTTGATTGGTCGAATTTCATTTTAGAAATTCGATCAATGATTGGATGAATGTCTACATGTATATTGATTATATTCTCATTCACAGGCAGCTGCAGACATACTGTGTTCTGTACTACTGATGTTGACTGATATAAGTAGTGTGTATCAACGGTCGAACGAGGAAAGCCTGGCAGCAGAATCTTAATAAGATTGAAAGGAAGAAAACGAGAACAGAGTGATTGGTATGGAAATGAAGGGACAATAAATTCTGAGAGAATCAGTGAATAGTTTGAAAATGGAATATTTACTGTATTATTCTCAGATTTTACCATGATATTCTGTAATGTCACATTGAGACGCATTTGGCTGACCCCATAGAAACGAGAGTCTTTCGATATTTTTCAGTCAACACTCGTTTTCATTCTCATCAAGGTAAATGCATAACAATACATTTTATGTATTGTATAACAATATATTATTCACATACCAATGAATAGAAACTCGAGTTTTCGACGACTGATGGCCTGGAATAAGCGGCTTCCTCGAAAAGTAAATAATGTTTTTCAGGTTAACTTAAGTTTGACTAATACAATTATTAAGTCTCTTTCTTCGGCCTTGTATTCTGGGACGCTTTATTTCTCTAGGCTAACTATTATTAAATCAAAACACGATATGGACAAAAACGTCGATATATTTCGTTTGCAAACAGAGAATTAATTCAGTGAAGTAAAAAATGTCATTTTATACACGAATTTCACACAGGAAAATCTTTATACTTTTCCTAATTTAAATACCAGTGTCGATCAGTTGAAAATGAACTTACTCCTGAGCCCCAACGACATGTTTTCTGAAACGTGCTTTGATAAACCTTACATTTGTTAACAACCGTTTCTGAATAGGAAAGAATATTTATTACATACGACCGATTCTTATTAATATTATTGTCATGTCAATGATTGTATAACTTTGACCCGTCCATGATCTATGTAACATTCAGCAGTCCTCACGTACTCAAAACTGATAATCTTCATGTGACCAGCTTTGAGAAGATTTTTCAAGGATGACCAGTGGATTTCATCCGTGACGAGTATGTGGAAGGCAGCCACAAGAGACAATGAAAGATGGTCGCGCAATGTTGCGAATTAGTTGAATTTAGACATTTACACCTTTAAATGCTTGTTCTTTGATCTAAATGCTAAGCATTCACACACGAGGCCGAACCTCCTGAATTCGACTCTCGTTTATGGAGTTTTATTGACCCATTATCTGATTCCAGTTATATCGCAGGATGATTGTTACTGAAATATACATGTTGCCGATACTCGTACATAATAATCGACTTAGATCGCATTAGTGAATAACAGAATGAACTAAGCTAAATGCGAGAATGGATTTTAAATGCGTATATTTTATACAATCGTTGATCGGAATGAGAAGTGAAGTCAAATAACGCGCAATGGAGCAGATAAGTGAGCCAACTCTATTTAGACAGGCGTGAATTGATATTTGTAGTCAGACAAAAATAGGTTACAGACAAGTGATGAGTAAGAAGTGAACACACATACCCTAACATAAAACAGTCAAGGTGGATAAGTGACAAGGTCAGAATGAAGCTAGAGAAGAATAGATAAATTGGTTCGTTCAGAAGCTAGAATAACATATGTGTACTTGACATAAGGCCAAAAATTTTGGAGTCATAAATTGAAACCGAAGTTGGAGACTGTTGAGTCTATCGAAACGTCTGAATCACCCAATTAAGATACGCTCAAAATCAAAGTTCGCAAAACAACGATTTCTCCAAACCAGCGGTTTTTTAGTTAATTATATACAAAAATTAGTTATAAATCTCAACCTGTGAGGTATCTGCGACGTTTCATGCACCTTTTTTTCTGAAATAAGGCTTCCTGTAATAGTAACAGCCGTCAGCTGTATCTAAACTTGGTAACGGTTTTTCAACAAGCGAAAACCGAACCAA